AAAGAAAGAAAGAAAGAAAGAAAGAAAGAAAGAAAGAAAGAAAGAAAATGTACATGGCAGGGGCCCAAAAACTAACCAATAGTACTGTTATAAATTAAATTTTAAAATTCTAATAATTAACATCTCAATTTTCATAAAATTAAATATTACTAATCACAAAAAAAATCTACTACACTAATCATGGGAGCCAGAGAAAATAATAGAAGAAACAAATCATCAGGAAAATTCACAGGAAAATTGCCTAGAGATTTCACCGCAAAACAGCCAAGAGCAAAGAAACAAGTCCTCACTTTGGAAGTGGGGGGGGGGCATAAATTGATCCAGCCCCTGTGGAAATCAATTTTAATGTTTCTTAAAATCTCAAAGTAATATGAACACATATAGCATTCCTTTGCATATGCTCAAAACACTCAACTTTCTGTATTACAGATACTTTTCTCAGGCATGTACTTTCTCATGTATTCACGATAGCTACGAAAAGGACATAACCTAAATATTCTTCAGCTGATTAGTGGATGATGGAAAAGTGATGCATACACATGATGGAATGCTGTTGAGTTGTAGAGTAGAAATGAGATCATAAAATTTTCAGGTAAATGGCTCAAAGCAGAAAAGTAATACTGGGTTACTGAGTGAGGTAACCCAGATTCAGAGGACAAGCACTGCATATTCTAATGTTTTGGGATCCTAACACTGAATATTTAAACATATACATATAACCTGGAGCATCTACCGAAACTAGAAAAATAAGAAGAGACCATTAGTGTTGGGAAGGAAGATCTTTAGAGAGGGGGATAGTAGGATATAGTTGTTATGAAGGCAATTCTGGGAAAACTAGGGTGGGAGGTTAGCTAAGGAGAAGAGGAGAAGACAACATTAACGGAGAGGAAGGAAATAGAAGTGGTAAAGAACAATATGACTTAGGAAACTGTAGAAAAACCTGTTATTTATGATATATATCTCATAAATATATTTTATATATCAAAATACACATATTTATATAATATATACAAGAATACACACACACACACATACACACACACTTTCATTCCCAACTGGTGAACAACAGTGCCTGAGTATCCTGAAGGCAGAAGCAGAACCAGAACAGCAAGAAAGCATCCAACAAATTAACAATATTATCCTCTTAAAAAGATCTCCACAAAGACAATTTCAGTTGGCATCCAAATGTGGATAGAGTGTGTGGATTCACAAGGCCCTATTTCTAGCTGAAGGTCTATAGACATTTAACGGCTGCTAAATAAAAGAAAGACTTTTTACAGTCCCATGATAGGACACCTAATCCAAGTGACTAGCCCTCAACACATATTCAAAAAGCAACACTAAGCGTCCTTAGCAGGATATGTAAATATTAGTTATGTTTATATGTTACACATAAATGTAATAATGATAATTAAGGAAGAAGAAGCCATAATTTGAGAAGGTGTTGGAAGATCATGGGAAGAGCTGGAGGCAGCAGAGAGTGGTGTGAGGTCAAAATAATATAATCACAGTACTTAAGGTTCTCAAAAAGTGTAAAACACGGCAATAAGGAAAGTTAGATAAAAGTCCCCAGAGTCATCAGTAAGCTGCTGAGGGGATATCGTTAACAGCTTTATATGAATAAAGTTTTCTATTTAGATGGCATGAATAAATTTCTTGAAAGGTGTATACAGCAAAAATGATTTCCAAAGGAGAAAAATAATCTACAACCTCAACATGCACTTAGAGTTTCAGTTTATAGCTAAAACCCTTCTCACAAAAACTTAGCAGTGTAAGGCCAGGTGTGATAAATGGGGCATGCTTTTAGTTCTACCATTTGGGAGGCAGGGGCAGCTGAATCTTTATAGTTTGAGGAGTCTGTGTTGATGTCCATGGTCTGTGTAACCAAAGGCCATGCTAATGTCCACAATCTGGGCAGGCCGCCTGAAGCCATGTTTATGTCCAATATCGTAAGTACTGTTTGGGACCATACTGATGTGAATGACCTGCACTGTCATCTGAGAACTTGGTCATATTCACAATCTGGGTTGCCAGTGATGGTCTTGTCTGGGTTTGTGGGCCTGTGCTGTTATCATCAACGATGCGGAAGCCCATGCTCCATGTTTCTGCTAGCAGTAAAGAGCAAGGAAGACACTTTTGCAGTAATATTGTTGATTGCTCACACAGAGTTGAGAGAAGGGTACATGGAAGGCTTCTGTGACAATCCCTATCCCCACCCCAACTCAAGTCCCCCCAAAGGTAGCAACCTAAACAAGAATCCATTGAAGAGAACTCTTAAAGTGTGATAAAGATGCTGAAGTTAGGTCTCCACAATTGAAGGCTGGTGGGAGAGGAATGACTAAGTTCTATTTAAAGGGTGGCTACTGACCTGACTGACAGCGTGTACATAGACAACACAAATTAGACTCTTCCATTTTATTGTTATTATTATTATTATTATTATATTCTTTGAGGAAGAGATAACAAGAGTGGGTGCAAATAAGGAAGGACTTGGAAGTGAACGTGATTGGATGCATGATGTATAATTCCCAAAAGATAATAAAAATATCATGTCAAAAATAAGAAAATTATTTTAGTGGCCAAGAAAGAGCTCTTTGAGTCAAAATACTTCCTTATGTAGAACAAAAAGTAGAAAAACAATGTATACAGTAAGTATAGAAAGAAATTTTATAAATCTTGTTGCTGATATGTTGTAAAGTTCTGTAATTGAATGAAAGATTGAGCAGCAAAAACACAGATGCCAATAGTGTACAATATGTTATAATTATATCTATTTTTGAATGTATATTTATGAATGAATGAGGCAACAAAGTCTGTCTGAATATGTCAAAACAAAAACTAATTTTTCTACTGTTGGGAAAACATTAGTAATTCAATTTTTTTTTCCTTTTGCTGCTATATTTGCTTTAAAGAAGAGTGATACTTGACTTATTTATAACGTTTCTTACAGTATAGATTCTTCTAATTCTTTGAAATAACTTGCTTCTAGAGCTGGTCAATTTGCACAAATTCATCCATATAAACACTTTTTAATTTATTAATTACATTTTTATTTTGTGTCTTCCTGTGTGGTGTTGTGTGGTATGATGCGTGTGTGTTTGTCTGTGTGTGGCTATGTGTCTGTGTGTTTGTGTGTATGTATGTGCTAACATGCATATGTGCAACCACATGTGGGTAGACATCAAAGAGGATACCTTGAGGGAGAGTTATTGACTTTTACCATGTGAGGCTTAGGAAATAGAATTAAGAAATCAGTTGTGAGTCTTGGCAGCAGGGGATGCCTGAACTCCTTTATCTGTATATTTCCTTTTAATGAAAATACTTTTTCAAATAAAGTATATCCTGATTATGTTATCTCTCTCTACTCTTCCTAGTTCATCCCTACATCTCCTCCCATGTGGATTCACTTTCTTTCTGTTTCTCTTTAGAAACCAAATGGTCTTCTAAGGTCTAATAATAAAATAAAATAAAATAAAATAAAATAAAATAAAATAAAATAAAATAAAATAAAATAAAATGAAATGAAATGAAATGAAATGAAATGAAATGAAATGAAATAAAGGTGAATAAACAAGATCGCCTTTCTCCAAGGAGAGCAGGAAATCTGGGGAGAAGCACACCACCGGGGACAGTGTAAGATCACCTCTCAGGAGACTCTCAGATGATCCCTCTAAACCCTTGCTGAAGCAGAACCACCTATGGAGATGGGATACTTACTAGCAACTTAATTTTATCACAATGAAGCTTACTACCATCGAGCATTTAGACAGACAGAGACATAGTCTTGGGGGTGGAAGTCTGGCCACAGCCACAGGCGAGGTTTATCACACTGTCCTGTGTTCTGTTTAGCAAAGCTGATTGACCACACAGACTGCTGGGAGTGCCAGTGAGTGGGAGTGGCTGGCATGCCCCTAGAACTGATCCTCTGAGCCAGGAACCCTTAAGGGAAGGACAATACATCCGCCAGGCCTGGATCTATTCATAATTCCTAACAGTGGAGGACATGTCTTCATCCCCAGGTTATTTGATCAGCCATTGCTCACAACGACCAAAACTAAGACCAAGAAGTACCCCCAGAGCAAGGTCTACTGAAAACTCCCTGACCGTCTATGAAGTTTGAGAGGAAAATTCAGGTTGGAACCAAGACCCAGAAACCAGAAGCACACACATAGCACACACAGGCAGCCAAGACCTGATACAGAAAACTTTAATCAACAATTGTAGAAACAATACACTCAGACATTAAATATCAAGATTTGCCATCATCACCACCACCAGTCTAGAAATGAAGTAATCCACTAATCTCAAATATTCCTGATGGGAGATAAGAGATTTAGGAAAATGTTTTCCCATAAACACATTTATTTTTACCCCGAGGCTAGACTCCCCACAGAGAAAAAACAAGTTTGTACTCAATGGAGTTTATTCAGCCAGCTTTGTGGCATGGCTCACCACTCTGTACCGGCTCCCTTCACTCTCAATTTGATAAGCAGAGGGAATGATGCTCTTCTGTACATGGAACAGACAAGACAGTAAAACTTTAACACGAGTGAAGTCTACATTATTATATTTTAAAACACATACCGAAGTCACTTCTTCCTTATGAAGGGGGGCTGGCAGTCCGTTCCAACAACAGCAGGGCAGTGCTTTCTTATGGTGGACACCATGACACACCCCCACCTTCCTCATGCAAGCCAACAAGGGAGAGCGATTGCACAGACTGCCTGTGTTCTCAGTCACCTTGACACGGATACACAAGTCTAAAAGGAAATAACCCCAACTACAACAGTCATTCCATTCAAGTATTAAGAGAAGTGTGCATGGAACTGGGTGGAGGGAGACAGCCACGTAAGAGGGACTTTAACACATTGCATGCCAGTTTGGTCTACAGAGAGAGTTCTAAGACAGCCAGGGCTACACAGAGAAACCCTGTCTTGAAAACCAGACGCAAACAAACAAACACACAAACACACAAATAAAACAAAAATAGAAGAAAAGAACTAGAAGAGAGACTGTTCAGTCCAAACTCCTAATGCCTCTAACACTGATTCTTGTGAGCGGGCAGGCAGCCTATCTGCTTTGCCTTCAAGAACTTTTGCAGGGACCACTATTGGTTTTGAAATGTGTCCTTTCTATCCTTTCTTAAGCCAACTGTGGGTCTACACATTTGAGCCAGGAAATCATTATGCCACGGTATGCCAAAGCACTGTGTGTGTGCCTTCCTGAGTACCGTTCATGTACTTCCCACTGCACAGTGACACATATTCCAGGCTATAAGGAAAACCTGATGATTTACAAAGCTGAAAGAACTGCTATCCTTACGAAAATCACTGTCCCTAATCCTGTTGCACACATTTATTATTTTTAGATGCTTCCCGATTTGAGTGACTGAAGAGAACAATACAGGCAGAGGCACTAGAAGCCAAACTGTGCTCACTTCCTTGTACCCAAAGCTGGATGAGGATACCAGAGACAAGAGTCAGTATGAAGAGTTAGGCAAAGGTTCTGGGTGAGTGGCTGGAGGAATGATCTTCCCCATAAGGAATCATGGCAAAAGGAGACAACCCACAGGCAGCTCCCTGTCTGATACTTGAACACCTAGACAGCATCGTGCCTGAGTGCTGCCTCGTCTCTGCTAGAACACCAACGGGCAGTTAGCTGGTACAGACCACTTCATCTTCAGGACAGAACAGCAGGCAAGCAGACAGGTACCCAAAGCCATGAGCACAACTCTAAGTTGTACATAGCTGCTCAGGGGTTGGAAGTTGTCAATCACTCCTTTAAAGAAGAAATCGGACTTCTTCCCAGCATCTCATGTTCTCCACAATCATTCAAAAGAGAGAGACACCAACTACTAACACGTGTGGATCTTAGGAATCGCTGTAGAATGGCTATGTGTGTCTCCAATTGTGGGGAGGACCGATAAAACCGTTAGAAGTGATAACTGCAGGGCTTGGAAAACAAAGGAAATAAATAACTTGGGGGCAGGGACCAGAGACTGCTGCAGGCCAGACTGTGAGCTCACAACCCTCAACAGCCTGGTCAACTCACCTGCAGGAGGTAGGTGAGAATGGTGTGCGCTGCTCTGGGGCTACAGACCATCTTCCTACAGCAGTGGGAAGCAGGCTCTGTCCTGGTCTCTCTTCTGCTAGCATGTCTCCTAGCACAGCGGACAACGTCCTTGTTTCTTACTTTGCTGAGCACCAGGGGCTGTTTCAGGGTTTTAAATGCCCCCTTCAGAAGACCAACAAAGTCACATGCTCATTGATAAATAATAATGCCAAAATTCCATTTATAAAGGACCAGTTCTCCTAACAGCGTACAAAACTAAAATCATTTGACCCGGTCACATGCACGTGAACTTTGAAGACTGCCTGGCTATGGTAATGAGACTCAACCTATTCTGTTTTGAGAAGTATCTCTCTCTCCTGTATGTTAAGATGGCAATAGCATCGGTCTTTAACAAAACCGGAACAGACAGAAACAGAACAACATATAACCAACCTGACAGCCAGTACTTCTTTATATACTGAGGCCGCATTCTTTTCTGTATCTGTTTCAAAAGTATCCAATATTTATATTAGCGGCTAGAAGACAGGGGGCCAAATCCTCCTGCAATGAGAGAGCAAAACTTTGACCACTGAGCCTGGGAGGCAGGGTCAGTGGAAGTCTATCAGGTACTCAGGGTAGATCTGGTTGGCATCAAAAACCACAAAGATCTTTGGGTTCCAGGTGTCATCCACACAGCTGTCATACAAATTCACATAGCTCCCGTCTTTGGAAGGAGGTCTCATGTATTTCGAGTCTCCGTTTATGTAATCACCAATTAGCACTCGAGCAAGAAACATGGATTTATAGGTTCTGAACAGATGTCGCTGCTGCAAGCTGACCCCGTGGATCTGGAATGTGTTCCCGTGCTTGACGTCATCCCTGCAGAAACGACTGGAGTATGCAGCATCTCTAGCGAAGTAGGTTCCTTCAACAGAAAGGGCCAAGGTTACTTTGGAGAAAACAGGAAACTCGGGAGACAACATTCTGACTGTCAGGGGAACAGCATTCTGACAGACATGAGTCATAGCACAGGGACAGATGTTGGATGACCTCCTCTGCAAACTGAAGAAGAGGACATAATCTCCCCACCCATCCTGTGGAGACAGCTGTGGGGCCTCACCAGTGCCCTCCTGTGCCCCTGAGAAAACAGGGGCCACACTTGCATTTCCAAAAGAGAGCTTGCAAGGAAATGTAGTAAAACACAAAACCACTCCCTGGGGAGAAGCATGGCCGGTCAGAATTTCACCTGGAGGCCTCCTCCTAAGCTGTCCCCTTCCTCAGCCCTTCCCCACTGCCCTCACCCAACATCCAGCCAAGCTCTGTAGAATACTGCTCTCCCCAGGGAGCTCAAAGCCACGAAGCTGCTGGCTATGACATGGGGCAATCCAGAAGTAATTCTAGACCAGGAGGTACACCAAGGAGTGAAATTCTGAGACTGTGAAGCTATGGCTATGGTTTGGGTCTTCAGTCTCCCTGGAACTCATGTGTTAAAAGGCTGTTTTCTGGCAGCATGGTGCTAAGGGAGGTGTGGGGACTTTAAAAGATGGAGCCAAAAGAAAGGATATGCTCTTAAAGGGGGAATACAGATTAAAGAACATCTTCACAGTCTTTTCATGGTCCAGCTGCCAGGAGGTGAGGCTAGTTCACCTTATACCACATACCCCTGCCTTAAAACAGGCTCCACAGACCCAATGCAACATGGACTAACATTTCTGAACTGTGAGTCAAAGTCTAATTCTCCTCTTCCTACACTGTCTCGGGCGTTCTGTTACAGTAATAGGAAGCTAGCAGGCACGTCTGTTCCTGCTTGAGTATTCCAGAACACTGTCAGTTATTGTCATGGACACTCAAGAAAGCAGTCGCCACTCTGGGAATGATTGATACTGTCAAGCAAGTATTTAATTCTAAAATATCGGGACATGAATTGCAAAGTCTCATACCCGCCCACATTGATGGAACTGGTGTCAGACCTTTTTGACCTCTTACAGCTAAAGTGAGCAGCTTTTTGCTACTCATTCTTAAATTAACTCACAGTTTCAAATCCTAATCCTACCTGGGAGTCAGCTCTCTTGCTGAAAATAAGGCACAAAGGACAGAGTGGGAGAGCAAATGCCTGCCCCTTGCCCTCCGCACCCTTCTCCTAGCTGCTTGAGTCATACCACGATGCAGAGAACTGAGACTTGCACTGGGCCAGGAATAAGAGGGAGCTCCTCCCACTCCCCCTTTAGTGCGCACTGGGATTCTTGCCTATCCTTCTTACCTATCATTTTCTAACAAGCAAAACCAAGCGAACAAAATATCAAAACTGCTAGCACCTATGCTAGAGAGTAACGGATGTGTGTCTCTCACTCTAGGCCTTTGCTGTAGAGCAGCTCAGTGGTAGGTGCTCACCCATGGCAAGGGCTGACTCAGCACTTCGGATACTGTACAGCGTCTTTAGCACACAGCATCCCACCGCAGCATCCCACCGGGAGGACCACAACTACTGAATATGGCAGGCATGTACGTCTCACTTCCGCCCTGTGTGTGGGGCAAGTGCTTTTCTGTGGCTCAGAAGCTCTGTGGTTTGTCTAGAACTCTTAGTCTGGTAACTTGTAGCTTCATTACAGCTAACTCTGAATCATAGAGCAACCAATTTTCTCCAGTGACGGAACTCTCCCTTCTGACTGAACCTGGACTGAGATTCAGATATTACCTTTTCCAAAGACAGCACCGTGTACACCATTGATTCTCCAGTCAAAGTTGTGAATGCAAATTGCTTCCACAAATTCACTGCTGGTGCCATGAAACAGCATTTGCTCATTGATTTGAGGGACACCTCTCTTTTTCTTGAGCTGAGCCTTTTTCCTAAAATCATAAAAACATCCAGATACACAAGCACAGAAAAATATACCAGTGAGCAGTATTTATTAATTTAAAATGTTAAAGGCAAAGATCAATAGAAAGGATGAGACAAAAATATAAATAATATAAATGAGTGGACAGAGAAATTCTAGCAGAGAAACTATTTTAAATGCTCTTGGATACATAAAAATCAAATATGACAGCTATCAGCTAGGTATGGTACTTAATGCCTGGAATCCCAAGGTACAAGATGCAGAGACAGGAGGATCAAGAATTCAAAGCTATCATCAGCTTTAAAAAAAAAATGATTTTGAATTTAGTCTAGGTTGTATGAATTTCAAAAAATATATACCTAGCATTGTGATTAAAGGCTGAAAATTATATTCAAAAAGACTGGGCATGTAGCTCAGTGGTAGAATGATTCTCTGGCATGTGGGAAAAGCCTAGGTCCATATCTCAGCAATGTGGAACAAAGATGAAAAGAGGAAAGGAGAGAGAGGG